GAATCAATAACCCATGAGAACGAATTCCAAACGGGCTATTGACTCAGAGGCCGTGAGGGCGAGAGGAATAATTGTTTTAGTAAAATCCAACAATTATAAAGGAAATAAAGGGAGACGTAAAGAATCAACCATAACAGGATGGAGAAAAAATCTGAACCCCAGATGGGATTCGAACCCACGACCCTCCGTGTTCTAGATTGGATGCTCTAACCTCTGAGCTACTGAGGACTCGCTGGCCATGGCGAGCGAGGGTCATTTTTGTGGGTTGGACTTGCGAACCGCATCTCGCAGTCACACAGTCCATCAAAAGCAATGCATAAAGGCTTAACTGTATCACACAGTCAGATTAATAGTGAGAAATGTCTCACCCATGAAGGAGCGTCCAACCAACCAACCTATGCCACTGATATTAATATTATAAAGGAAATAAAGGGAGATGTAAAGAATGAACCATAAGAGGATACAGAAAAAATCTGAGCCCCAGATGGGATTCGAACCCACGACCCTCCGTGTTCTAGATCGGATGCTCTAACCTCTGAGCTACTGAGGACTCGTTGGGGAGCAAGGGTCATTTTTGTGAGTTGCGAACCAAGTAAGAAATATAGTAAGAAATGTCAAGTTGTCAAAAAATGAAATGTCTAGTTGAAGAAATATCTAGTTGGTCAAAATTATTGAGACAAAACAACTTTAGCTAGTTAAAGCTAGACTTAAATCCCTTTTTTGCGCCAAAAATCCGGCGCTTTTTGCTACTAGTGGGCTATAACATATATTATTAGCCTAGTAGTAGCTCAACCAATCAGAATGCAGCATTGATATATAGTACACCACTAGCTGGATTTTACTAAAATGAGATACATTTGTACTAAATGTATTGATGAAATTTACTTGCTTTTGATTGGACAAAATTGAGTACACTAAATCCCAAATTTACGCTCTTAAAACAGCAAAACCATGTTATATAATGTTTCAAGACCTGAAGAGCAAATTTGCAACAAAATGCTGAATTTGCCCTAAACAACTTTAAGAAATTTTAAGGTAACAAAAAACTCAACAGGCTTTCGAAAAATTTCCACTTTAGGATTTGGGAAAGCTCGTATGGTATAGCCTGCTTCTCAGACGTAATTTAACTTCGGTTAGTAACATCTGCAAAGCAGCGCCGATAACCCTGTTGTGGGCCATCAACGGACTCAACGAATTACCAGAATTACTTTTCGAATTTCCTTTCATCCTGATTGGCAAATTGACAACACTGTTGAAAATTTCATTCAGTATCTGCCATTTGGTCATATTGAACTCGTGTTTTTTCTCAGACTTAGTAGGCACCAAAAAGCCTGGATTTCATTAACAATTACAACAACTGTGATAAAATAATGCTAAACTAAGTGTAATATATTAATTCACTCACTAAAACTAGAAAGACTACCTGTTTTTCTAGAAAAAAAGCAAATCTTGAAAAAAAAATGGCTGTCAAAAGTCTATTGCCATGGTAACATAGCAGCCCGGCTACTTTTATCTTGCGCCTATGATCTGCCCCAGGGGGGAGGATTTGGCTCCTAGGATATTTTACAGGAAATTCATAAATTGTCTACTAAAACATTGTTAAATATGCCGCTCCGATATCTCAAAACAAAAAAACAAATACAAAAAAAAAATGCTCAAAACGAAAAAAAGTTGCTCGAAATACGAGAAGTTGGCAAAAAAACTTGTGGAAAGCCCTATCCACCTAGCTTGAACAGCTCTGGAGTTATTCAACTTTTCAGCGGGATGGGTGGGGGGGGGGGGCGCTGGAGGGATAGGCGGGGGCTCAAAAGCTTCCCTGGGTTTGAAGAGGGATAAACGATTAAAAACAATCTAGTGTATAAACTGACTAAACTTCACAAAGCAAATTAATCTGTCAACAGTTTCAGAATACCCACCAACAGTTTCATCAGCATCAAAGGCTCTAGATACATCAACAGCATCTTCATCAGCTACTCAACCGGCGGGTAGGTATTTTCCTCAGGTCAGGATTAGCTCATCAGTAGAGAAAATTGAATACATTGATGCCGGTTCAGAGCTGTAATGTTTTGCTTATTATACCTTATTAAACGGCTAAATTGGCGAGCGGACAAGATGAAGCAAATACTGTGTTCTGATGGACCACCCGAGCGACAAAGAAACTGCCCCTTGGGATTTCACGCGTCGGTCCCGCAAACACAGGTTCTTATCATTTGGGCCATATATAGTGAATCCTCGATTTACAAAGCATGAGGTCAAGATGGCGGCTGGAGATAGTTGGCCTTGTGTTTTTTTTTCTTCTCTTACTTTTTCTTCTCACCTTGGCCTCGTCTTGGTCTATAAATGAAAGTCGCAAAGAAACAGAAAATCTTTTATCGACATTCAGCCAACAGGACACTCATACTTGACCGACTTGACCGTTAAGGCATGATCGCCTCCTACCATCTGATTCTTTTTTATTTATTATTTTTTTTTAACCATCGACCTGTTTACCGATAGCAATTCTGGCTAGGTCACTTACAAACTATCAAGGGAATACAATGAGGAAATAAGAGATATAATACTCAAACAACTAGAGACAATGTTGTGTCAGTATTCTTATCGTCCTCCTTAACAGATGTATCGTCATCAGAAGCCACACTGATACCAACAGCAGTTTCCACAGCTTATCCAGCGTCAACAACCCAACCACCTCAACAGGGTAGGTAATTTTCTGTGCCTTTTCTTCGACTTGTTTCCTACTATCTCAATCTGCTTTTGTGTCTAGTGCGAAGCACGTAGACACTTTGTGAGAGCATTGAAAATTCGTCCAAGTACTTCATATAATCCCAACTTGTGACGTAACAGCCATAATAATTCTATAAGCTATAAACTAGTTTACTTCTTTCGTGAAAGGGGAACCAAAGCATTAGCACAAATTTGTTAAATTTGGAATGTGTAACCATTTGGCATGCTTGGAATGTGCAACTATGTGCACTATACATGTGCATATAATCGTGAAGGCTTTTTGGCTAATCTTGAGGGAGTTTTAGGATATTCGATTGATTAAAATTGGATTCCATAAAAGGATCTAAGAAATAATCGGAACCAATTTAAATTAGAAGATGAAAGATAACGACGAAGGGAGAGCAACCTTCAAAATTTCCGTGAGTTGTAATTTAACCTTTTAAGACATTTATCAAGAGCAACAGATGTTTGTATTTGGGGAATACATTTTTATTTAACGGATATCTTATTTCATCTTTTTCTTTGATTCTTATTGTTGTTCTTATTCTATACTATATAGTTTCTAAACGTATACGAATTCCTACTTCAAACAGTCACTTGAAAGGGTTCACAGAGTTAAGCGTTTTTAGCTATAAAGCCAGTTTGTTGAAGAAGGTATACAAATAGGCGTCCTGATACGAACGACCTGACTTTCTCTTTCAGAAGAGAACAAATATCGCAGTTCATTGAACAAGCAAATAATCATCACGCTAGTATAATGTTAAATTTACAAAGGGAATCTTTCGGAGGAGAACAAATATTGCAGTTCATTGAACAAGCAAATTATCATCACGCTAGTAATGTTAAATTTGCAAAGGGAATCTCTGAGAACAAAATTTTTATTTCACGATATAATTGTGTTCAAAGGAATAAAGTATTAAAACATGTTAATTCTTGGATCTAGAAACAGATTTCAAGCCAGCTGGATTATTTCAGAATGCACACTTCTCGTCTTGCCACCCAAGAGTTAGGGGTAAATAATTGCATCATAAAAAGCTAAGGCAAAACTACGGCTACTCAGAGGAAATTTTCAAAAAGAAAATCTCTAAAGAAATTTTCAAAAAGACACTGTAGATGGAGAGGCTATTCACAAAAACAGATAGGCTCAAACAAACTCTCTTTGTCATACACCTTTGAAACAGAAAAAAAAAGGCTTTCCAAAAAGCAAAAAAAGAGCACCAACTAAACTAACTCTTTCCATTATGACCACAGTTTTTAATGATATATATTCGCACTTGCAACATGTACGCCAAGTGGACCTATTTTTAAAATAACCAACAACTTATTTTACCGATAGCAATTCTGGCACGAGCAAGTATAAACTGGGCGGGGAAAATCAATGAAGGAATAAGAAAAATATAAATACTCAAACAACTGGGAAAAACTTAGTGTCAGTATTTCCACTGTGCTTCTTTAACGGATGTATCGTCATTAGAAGCCACAGTGATACCAACAGCAGTTTCCACAGCTTTACCAGCTTCAACAAGCCAACCTCCTCCTCTTGGTGGGTAATTTTCTGTGCCTTTGCATCGACTTGTCTTGACATAGTATAGTTGATTAGCTTGATGAAACTGAATCCATTGATACCGGGCAGGTGTAACTATCTACAGTTGAACCCCTTTACTGCCAAGGCATAGTGTCGCGCTGCGTGTTCTTCAAATTAAACTTCGAAAGGATTTTGGGTTTTCCTGTTACGTAAATCATTTGAGTAGGGGCGGGGTTAATGCAAATCAAAACAACAAACTGATCATTGCGGCGAAGACAAGTAGGAAAAGCAACAAACTACGTATGAATATACGAAATGTATACAGCTATTTCGAGAAAGATGGTCGGAAAAAATGTGCACGCGACAATCCCGAAAGGTAGTATGGGATATGATCAATCCGCTATTCCTGACACTGTAGCCGCGTCAAATCTTCTCACTATTGTTGCTTTCCTTTAGCATTCGCAAACATACATCCGTGGCCTCTCTTGCCATTCTTTCAAATTTGTTGGAAGAACGGTGAACTCAAAACCACCCACAATACCTTTCGGGACTCTCGCGTGCACTTTTTCCGACAACCTTTCTCGAAATAGCTGTATATTATTTCGGTTTGAAACACAAACGTTTCTCGAATACACCTTACGATAGTAAAATTATAGGTCAAGAATAAAAAAGTGAAGCCAATGTTGTTTTTTAATTACTTTGAAAATAAACCGGCGTAAGCAGACGCAGAAACTACATACTTGCAAAAAACATGACAGGTGAGGGTTTAGAAACAGTCTACGAGTGTAAACAGATGACAAACATGGAACGAAATGTAACTAGTGACTCAAATTTAAAGTTATGTAAGGCGTCACCAACATAGGTTCAGTGAGAATGTCATACTACTGTGTAACATTTTTGTTAGCCTGCGTAGCTGGCGGTATTGTGTAGTAGTCGAGTGAGATTTGGCGGCGGAGCCGTTGTAATATATTCGAGTGAGATTTGACGGCGGAGCCGTCACGAGCGGCGAAGCCGCGAGAAATACCGCCTGCCAGAGAACCATGATTTTTCGAATGCCGCCCACTTTTGTCACCTTAGCTGATCCCAATTAAATCAGCAATTTGAAACTTCCGATTATTTTCACGCGGGACAGTTTAGAAATAAGCGTTGACAGGCTAAACACGACTCCTAAGCTCGTGATAATGTGAAACGTGACCTTGTGAGTTTAGTTGAACCGAGGTTTTTTTATTTTCTCAGCTCTCGCGCGAAGGTTACTAGCATTACACAGTGCATGTATCATTCTAAACTTTGACTAGGCTTAACATTAAAAGGTCATGAAGCTGGTTTGTTACATGCATACTGAGTAACCATTTCCTGTGGTTTATTCTTCTGTAGGTGTTCCTGATAGGATTTGATCTCAGATGCAGTTGTAAAGTGTTCTAATTTTCTTTGACCTTTGTTTCTTACGGCTAAATAAAGACAATTGCAGCGCTGTGAAGTTTAAAGACGCCATTTCGGCTATTTGGTCATCAATTATACTGTTCTAAAGGGGAAACCACAATCACTTACGTTAGTTTGCCATCTGCTCCCTTAATTGGGAAATATATGCGCAGGATCATCTAACATGATTGACATATGTATGGCCCTCGACCAATCCGTTTCCCCGCACACTGGTGTGCGGACTATTCAAAATACCGGGGTTTTCTGGCAGGCGGTATTTCAACCGCCTCGTCCCTACTCCCTTTTTTTGGGACACGGCTCCGCCGCCAAAACTTTAATCTCGATTCCACACAATACCGCCAGCTACGCAGGCTACATTTTTGTTCGGAAAACCGCTTGTCAAAAATGCCTTTTCTATTCCTTTTCTCAAAAAAAATGCTCGGATTGACCGGATTGTGAATCTCAAAAATTCGATTTGGATTTGATCCGAAGAATTCACTCAAGGTGTGGATTTTATGGATTCATGATCCGTTTTTGGATTTGCCTAAGAAACGCACCCTGAGTTGAACTGCTTGCAAAATACAGGCGTTATTGAGGACGTATACAAAACATGGACTCCCGACACCCCTCTGGACCTAAACCATGGACCTCTCGGTGAACTTGGTCCATCGACTACCCACGTGGAAAACCCCTAATTTTTGATGATAACTTTTTACCAGAGGTCTAGATGAATTTAAGGAACCTTAAATGGACGAAATTTTCTCAGTTTATAGCGGAGCTCTCGCGCGCGAAGCGCGCGCAGCGGAGCACCATGGGTAAGAAAATGTGGCAAACTACCCATCCGAGAAAATTTGGTAATCACCTGACCGTACACCGACCGACCGCCCGACCTTCCGTCCACACCACAGGCATACCAATGTAAAATAACTCAATCAACAGGTATGGCAACCCAAATGCAACTCGAGGTTATTTTGACGGGAAGTCGCGTAGCCACCCGCGTCTTGTTAAGCAGAGACAACTAAAGAGTCAATGAAGACGAAAATAGAAAGCGGAAATTGTCTCCGTATCCGTGTTGTCTAAAGTATTAAGCTTAGATTAATTGTCATGCCCACAAATTTGGAATATAGAGCAAGAGAAATACAGAGAAAAAGAGAAAGTAGGCAGCAGACCAGCGAAGCTCAACGAGAAAAAGGTCGACAGAGATCTAGAGCGAGAGATGAAAAACAAAGGAGACATTTTTTTGTTAGAGGAACAACATGAAAATTTTGTAGCGGCGGTAACAAAATGAGAAATTCTAGCGGCCACTAATGCAAGGTGAAAATGAGCGGCAGTGAAAATAAAGTGAACAAGAAAACGTACGACAATTTCTCCATAAAACGTGTAACTAAGACATTTCTGGAAGTTTTACGTTGTGGTCGTGCAAAACAACGGCAAAGAAATGTACAAAAAAAAAAGTGTGCTGCACGTGCAAAGTTGCCTTTTTGCTAATTAGACCTATTGTCGTTTTTCACCGTTCTCCGGCGTTACCTTCGCCGCTTAGCATCGCACGACTTTATATTTTGTTTGAGTAAACTATAGATATTATCGAGAGCATCGCATTTAGCCCTGGCTAAATCTACATATTATTATCAGGATTAAAGGCTCTTCATGTTATACCCATGTTCATTTTTTTTTTTTCCTGATTGTTCTTTTTTTTTTTTTTCCTGAATTCCATACATGGGTTTGGTTTAGTCTGGACGTCCTTTTAATATACTGGCCTCGAAGATTATTTTTTACCTTGACTTCGCCTTGTTCCATAAGCTCGCCAAAAAATGCCATCATGACCTCATAATAAGCCATTAACGCAAAAATATCGTCTCAAGTAATCTGATTCCCTTTTTACAAAACCAACAACTTAATTATTTACTGATATCAATTCTGACAAGCACACATAAACAGGGCGAAGGAAGAACAATGAGGAAATAAGAAATATAATACTTAAACAACTGGAAACAATTTCTTGTGTCAGTATTCTTAACGTGCTCCTTAATTAACAGATGTATCGTCATCAGAACCCGCAGTGATACCAACAGCAGTTTCCACAACTTCACGAACTTCAACAAACCAGCCTTCTCAACAAGGTGCGTAACTGTCTGCGTCGTTCCTTCATCTTTTATTGGACTCGTTCTTGAATAGATGAGGAGAAGTGTTACGTCATGTTACCATGGTAGCAAAATGTTTGGATCACAGCAATGGGGAGCCTAAGTAACGACCACGGCGACGGCAACAAAAACGGTTAAAAATCCGTAGGTTTATGTTAGCAAAACAACAACTTTGCACGTACATCAAGCTTTTTAGCCATCGTTACATGACTGCGATATGAAACTTCCTAATTTCACGAACCCGCTTCATGTACTAAGTGAACACAATACAAAAATTTTCGTTTTCTTTTTTGAAACAATGCGAATTCTATTTTTAAGTGAATTTTGGGTTTGTTGTCATCCAAGGATTTTGCTACCATGGCAACGTAAGTAGCGACTTCTTATCTCTATTTGGTCCTACTTTGGAGCGACATTGGCGCTGCAACTGATTCAGACGGGGTACCGAGTGTTGATCCTAACCTTGATTTCATGAGAGCAAGGCCAGAGTCCCATGCCATATTTTTGCGCAATAATTGATAATTTTAGCCAGATAGCGATTCATTTGAATCATTACATTCGACATTTTCTTGCTCTTTTAATGTCTCTAACTTTTCGGAAACATGGCTCACAATATGCGACTGAAGTGCCCGCTAACCAGCCATTGACAGAACAAGGAATACAGAAGTATTCCTGGCACCGTAAATAAGTATATTTTGTATTCTTAAAGCAAGATGAGCAAGATTGTCCTTCTTTACCCGTCATTTTCCTCCATTTAATGTTCTGCGCTTGGCAACTACGTTAAAACGAGCGGAATTGTTGGAAAGCAAGAATATAAATTTAAAGTATGTATAATGTTTGCCTTAGGTTCGCCACTTGAGAGGAGCGCCGTATGAATCACCTGCCTCTCCAGTGTCGTATAATGCGACAGACTGTGTTGAGTTTGGCGTTTTTGCCACACTAAATTAAAACTGCTGTACCAAATTGATTCAGACGCGGCCCTTTTGCGGTTAATTCATCAGTTAGGTTCGGCACATGAGAGGAGCGGCGTCTGAACCGAGCCTTGATTAGCTATTCGTTATTCCCCGTGCTCGTAACATTCATCAAATCAGTTTTCAGAATGATGATAAAACGAGGAACGGGAAATGAGGAACGACCAAAGGGAACGGGAAAATGAAGAATGGGAGCAAAACTTAAGTTGAACCCAAGCCCTATCAGTAAATTCATTACCCATTCTCTTTCTCGTTCTTATTTTCATTTTTCCGTTGCCCTTGCTCATTACCCGTTCCCGGTTCCTTGTTTTAGTAACATCGGCTATTAGGAGGGACAAGAGTAGCCCGCAATCCTAATCTCCAGGTTGTTATTACGTATGCACCACACGTATCACTGACGCGTATAGAGCCATCTTCGTTTTGACTTCCACAAAACGCAGTTTGGACTTCTGTCATTTGTAATTGAATCACACCTGTTTTGAGCATCTGTCACGTGACTCCTATACGCAATGCACGGCGTTGGAGCAAAGCTTTTTGACCTCCGATCGTTGTCGACCGCACTCCGTAACCTTCGGTTATTACTAGTTTCAACTAATGTTATGTCTTTGGTTTTCCTTTTTCTATTGTTTCTTAATTCAGCTTGTCAACAAGATTGGATTTGCAACGGGACGTCATGTTATAAATTGGTTAAGTCATCAAGATTGAGTTGGGGAAAGGCAAAGGAGGAATGTGAAAAATGCAAGGCCGGATTGGTAAAGGTTGAATCTCTTGAAGAAAATGATTTCATAAAAACGAAGCTTTTGCCCACCAGAAATAACGGTAGTTACTGGATTGGACTTTCAGACTCTGCCAATGAAAATGACTGGATGTGGACGGACGGAACTAAATTGGATGGATACAAAAACTGGGGAGATAACCAGCCCGACAATAACAAAAAACAGCAGAATTGTGTAGCAATACAAATAAGAAAATCCGATCCAGACCATTATGGGAAGTGGCACGATCGACGATGCTCTCAGCAAAGGAAATACATTTGTGAAAATCCATAGCATGTTGATAGTTTTTTAAGGCCTGAATCTTAAGTCAAGCTCTATAATTGCCACCATATTGAGAGCTAGCCTGCGCCACAGACGAAACTATAACAGCGCCGAAATAAATCCGTGTTCCGGGCCCCCACCTGTGTACCAGGATTTCACTACAAACTTAGGTTTTGATAGATTGTGCTAGCATAATATTTGGTATAATTTGTCATCACGAACATAATTTTCACCCATATTCCGAAGAAAAGGCACTGCTAGCATTATTCACACTTTCCGCTAGTTTTACAGCACAAAAATTGTCATTTATTGATCATCCAACCATTTTTTTTTTTCGCGCGAAATCAGTGTTACTGACAGTCAAACTTACGCAACCAAATATTTTTTTTTTGTCTCTTTATTGCGACATTCATGAGAACTTAGTCCCCACAGTAAAGTAATCCAGTATTCTTTACACAGAACTCAACGCACGCACATAATTAGCTCAGTTACCCAAGATGGTGTCCCCATCCTGGTTGTTAATTGTTTGAGTTTTCGTAATGTATGCACTCTTAATGTCTCTACATACCACTAGGTTAAATGTATTTGCCACTTATTTTTTTGTTGTTGTTGAAGTGCTTTTACGAAATTTGAAACCAAAAAAAAAAAATAGACGCCATAATTTAACGGGAGCAGACTCATACATAAACTAGCTTAGTTATTGGCATAATTTTAGGAATATATACAAGCACTGCGAGTAACATAGTATGCTTCTTTTGCGAACCCAATCTATAAAAGCTTATACGAGCCATGACTGGCATGTTATAAAAAAAAAACAATGGTTATTTGCCAATGGAGTTGAAAAGAAATTCAAGAAGCACAAGCGTTGATGTATTGAGTTCGTTTTTTGCCCAGAACAAGGATATCGGCACTGCTTTGCAGACATTTATTACTAACCAGGGATAAATTAAGTCTGCTACGCAACCTAAATGATAGCCCGCAGACAAGTACATCTTCTTTGGAAAAGCATGAGGTTTATTAAGCGTCAACATGTTTCTTCTGTGTTGAATTTGTTTGTTTGTTTTGATTTTTTTCATTTGTTTGCTGCTTCTTTTTCCTGAATTTGACTTTTTGCATTTGTATTTCACTTTGGGCTGTTTCATTCCTTTCCGCAGCCTTTGCATTCCATAATGTAGGCTGTTATTCCATGAACCAAAGGAAACGGAATTTCTTTTGGCTTACCGAGGGCTAACTGTTACTCCCTTGGTTTCGTACAGTCCTGTACCGGTGTCTTTTTACTTTATTTCCGTGTAATTTGTACTATATGTTTACACCGTCCTATAGTAGGGGCCAGCTGTTTTACAGGTATGCATAGTTGACAAAATCGCTATATAAGCAAAAATACAGCGATTTTCGGTCTATTCAAAATACAAAAATTGGTAATTATTATTGAAAAATACGCCAAAAATTTCAGTAAAATAGAATTATTTAACATTTAGCCAATAGAAGACTTTTTCTCGTCTTTGACTGGAGCCTGATAGTAAACACCAGAGGGCTAGACACTTTATGTAAACGCGAGACGACGTCTAGAGCTTGAATAACTTTCAAAAACCGCTTTTCTAACGATTAATAACTTAAAATCCTCTCAAATAAGCTAGCTTTCAGTATTTTTTGCCAGCTAAAAAGTCACCTTTTACGTGGCTGCAAACCAAGAATAATGAATGCAAATAACAAATCATTCCTTTGGATACGGACACCTATAAAGAGCTTAGGTATAGGCCCGTCCACACGGTGGCTAAGGCCCCGTCCAAAAGTATCCGGATATTTTTGAATCCGCAAATTTTTCTTTGCGGATTCAAAGGTTTTCACGTCCACACGTATCCGTATTCATATGGAATTTGCCCGTCCACACGTATTCGGATTCACTCTCAGTTCGTCAGCTAATTTATAAAGCGATCTCCGGCTCATGCGAAACTTTTATCGCCAATCTTCTTCAATACATGTTTCACTAAAAAAATTGTCCCGCAAAGCACTAGCTCGCTCGTTTAACTTGTTTACGGCGTCCAATTCGTGACATTAGTCCGTCCGACATGGGAAGAAGGTTCAAAATGTCGAGCCACCGTATGGCATAATTGAGGCTGGTGTAGGTTATAACACTTGAAACTGAAGTCCAAAAAAATGCGATAACATTACGCTCGGCACCATCTTGAATATTCACTGTAAATTTTCCCGATTTAGCGTCCACACGATTCCGGATCCATAGGGTATTTGAAAATTTCCATTCTGGAGAGCGGATTAAAAAAGTTGGGGATTCGTATGCCGTATACACCGGATACTTGTGGACGGAAGTCGAATCCTGAAAGAAAAAGTTGCGGATTCAAAACTATCTGGATATGTGTGAACGGGCCTAAGATAAAAGAGTGTGTTTCTTTCGCACCTAAGAAGAAAGCAATACGAAAACTGTTGTAGACGATGTTTGATGGAAATTAAACTTCGTTCAACACTGTCATGCAACATAGT